TATATACTAGCCACGAACAATCAGACACTGAAGTTTTTTTAAACACCATTCACAATTACATCTTAAACATGGAATACTTAAGGATAAACTTAACCAAATAAATATGTCCAGAAACTCTATGATAAAAACTATGCCAAGAGATGTTAAAGAAAAGCTAAATAAACATAACAATACATCATGTTCATGGACTGGAAGCCTCTACTTTTTAGTTGCTGGTTTTTATCAAGTCAATATATACAATCAGTGCAATCCCAAATAAAACCCAGATAGTTCATTTTATAGAAACTGAAAGGCTGATTCTGCATTTTACATGAAAATGCAAACAAACTAGAACAGTCACAGTAATCTGCCAAAGAATAACAAAATTGAAGGACCTACACTACCTGATCTCAGGATTTTCTATAGAAAATATACCAATCAAGAGTAATACTGATGCAAAGACAGAAACTAGATTAAACAAAATGAAAACAGAAGAGAAACAGCTTAACTTCTATGAAAATGTACCCAGAAGAAATTTAAAAAGACTTTTTTTAACAACATTCACAGTGACTTTATTCATAAAGGTTGAAAACGAGAGATAATAAATAACCATAAAGAGGGAAATAAAATTCTAGGATAATATAACAACAGAATGTTAATCAGTAATGAAAAGAATGAACTAGTTACTGATAACACTAAACCAACATGGAAAACTGCAAAAACACTATGCTGAGCAAAAGAAGCTGGAGCAAAGAGTTACACATGGTTCCATTCACACAGAGTTCTCACATTAGTCGCTCAACTGTGTCTGACTCTTTGCGACCCCATGTACAGTAGCTAGCCCACCAGGCTCCTCTGTCCATGGGATTCTCCAGGAAAGAATACTGGAGTGGGCATCCATTCCCTTCTCCAGGGTATCTTTTCAACCCAGGGATTGAACCCAGGTCTCCCACACTGCAGGCAGATTCTTTACTGTCTGAGGGACCAGGGAAGCCCAAAGTTCTCAAGGGACAACATTAATCTATGATTGGCAGTGGGGGTGTGTGTGTGTGTGGAGAATCAGAACAATTGTTGTGGAGTGGACTGACCAAGAAGAAGACAAATTTTCTAGAATGATGAAAATATTCTATATCCTGATGCATTATGGGTTACATACAAGTTTACGCAGCTGTCAAAATTCTGAATTCTTACTTAGGATCCACATTCCACTTCAAACTTTTTCTCAATTAAAGAAGACTTCTTTCACTCAAAAAAATATATGACTGCCTACCACAGCCCAGTTACTGAGAACACAAAGTTAAAATACAAGTTTCAGAAAAGAGACCTCATGGTCTTGCAAGCAAAGAAATGAAAAGTTAGTTATTATAATGAAAAATTACATAGAGTAAAGTTTTGAGAAGTGAAAAACAGTAGACTGCCAAACAAAGAATATACAGGTATATCCAACATGTACAGAAGTAAGAGAAAAAATCATATTGGACCTGGGCAACTAATGTAATTTCAATGTACTGAAACTACGAAGTGGGCAGTAGGGCTTGCCGGGGCTGGATAAGATAAGAAGAGACCTGATTCAAAGGCTCTTTTAGCTCAAGCAAAAGAGTGCATTTCAGCTTTTTAGCAAAAAGAAACCTCTGAAAAATTTCTTGGAGGAAAATGATAAGTATAAATCTCATTTTTAAAAGATCATTACAGAAATCATCTGAAAAACAGACAGGTAAGGCTCAGGTTACAATCAGTCCAAGAAGAAAGCTATTACCATCAACAGACTACTTTATTCTTTTCAATCTCACATGGAGCATTTGCCAAGGCAAACAACATTTAGGGCCATAAAACACAGAACTTCATAAATGTAAAAGAATAAACAATCATACAATATACACTTTCAGACCATTTAAAACTATAGATCAGTAACAAAAAAATAGCTGAAAAATCCCCAAAACTTGGAGATTAAATAACACACTTCCAAATAACACATGAATCAAAGAACATATCTCGGAAAAAAAGACAAAATGAACCAAATGAAAATAAAAATACAACTTGTCAAAATTCATGGAACACTGCAGTGCTTAGAGAGAAATTTGTATCATTGAACGCTATGTGTTGAGTGTTGTTTAGTCATAAAGTCATGTCCAACTCTGCAACCCTATGGACTGTAGCCCACCAGGCTCTTCTGTCCGGGGTAGTCTCCAGACAAGAATACTGGAGTGGGTGGCCATGCCCTCCACCAGGGAATCTTCCCAACACAGGGACTGAGCTCGTGCCTGCATTGGCAGGCGGGTCCTCTACCACTAGTGCCACCTGAGAAGCCTTGCCACCTGAGTGGCAAGTTAAATCCAAAATAATATAAGAAAAGATATCATAAAAATTAGAGGAGAAATCAATGAAATTGAAAACTGGAAAACAACAGAAAAAAATCAACAGCTAATTCTCTATAAAATTAGTAAGCTTTTACTAGGGGGAGGTAAAAGGGAGAACTGGTGTTAAGTGGGTACAGAAATTCAGCTTTGCAAAACAAAACAGCTCTAGAGATCTACTGTACAACGAGAGTACAATTAACTGTAGTGACACTGGATGTAATACTATATGCTTAAAAATTGTTAAGACAAAGAGCAGCCTCTGCTCACTGCAACTAGAGAAAGCCCACACACAGCAAGGAAGACCCAGTGCAACCAAATGTAAATAAATAAGCAAATGGTGACATACTTAAAAAAAAAAAGGCAGCAAGCCTCTTGTCAGACTAAGACAAAAAGAAGACATAAATTACTGATATCAGAAATTAAGGTGGGAATATCATTACAGACCTCATGGACACTAAAAGGATAATAAAAGAATACTATGAACAACTCTATGCCCACAAATTTGATAACCTAGATGAATTGAACGAATTCCTCGGCAGACACAATCTGTCAAAACTCACATAAGAAGAAACATATAATCTGAATCTATAACTATTAAACAAACTGAATTACTAACCTTCCAAAAAGGAAAGTACCAGGCCCTACAGATTCACTGGTGAATTCCATCAAACCCTCAAGGAAGAAACTGTACCAACTCTCTACAATCTCTTCCGGAAGACCAAAGCAGAGTGAATATTCCTAACTCATTCTATGAAACCAGGGTTACTCTAACATCAAAACAAAGACACTGCAAGAAAAGAAAACTAAACCAATCTATCTCAGGAATATAGATGTAACAATCCTCAACAGGTACTAGTAAATTGAATTTTAAAAATGTATATAAATAATTATACGCAACAAAGTGGGATTTCCTCCAGGTATGCAAGGCTGATTCAACATTAAAATATTAATTAATGTAATTCATCACCATCAACAGGTGGAAAAAGGAAAAGCCTATTAACAACGGACTAGGTAAAAGTTGGTGAGCACATGTATTAGAACACAACCGTTAAGTAGTTATCCACTCATTCACATCATGTGCTAACACCTGGGCCATAATGAAAAATAAGACAAAATTCATGCTCTCAAAGAGCCTACTATCCATTAGAGACAGACTGAACAAGTCCCTACTGCAGGGAGTAAACCTAGACTGGACAGAAGTGGCAGCCTGATGGTGATGAAGCACTAATCAGTTTAAAAAGCAGAGAGGGGTTATGATTAAGGGGAATATTACAAGTAGGATACATGAAGGCCCTAAAGCAAAAGAAAAAGCACAGTGTATTAGAAGTACTGAAAGGATCCAAGTTTAATATCACATAAAGAATAGAAGATTTTATGACAGTTGTAGTTCTGCTGATCTTCAGGTAAAAATAAAGACACAAGAAGGCAAAAAAAACCACCCAGCTTCTCAGACTCCCTGCCTGCATCAGCACCACGCTCAGGAAGGCCCTGCTCCGCTGCCTGGTCTGCCTGGCTGTGACTCATCCCACGCTACTCCCAGAACTCACCACGGACCTGCAGTCAGCCAGCCACTGAACCGCTAGACTTGATCAGTGACCAAAATACAGAAATAATCACTGACTTGTACTTAAAGAACACACAGACTTTTGCATTGCTTACTGATGTGGAATTAAATACCCTCAGTACTGAGAAGAAGTCACTGAGGCCAGAGCTGATTACAATTCACTTCACAGAGATAATTTTTAGAGTGAAGATTATAAAGAGGTCATTGCAGGTTGTTCCAAAGAGCCTGTGACTGAAGCACCAAATGAGCCCTGAACCTTCAGGGGAAGCAACAAGTCCAGCTCACTGTTTTGGTTTGTTATTGTTGTTCTTTTTTTTTTCCAGAAAATGTAGCAATTCTCCATCAGCTGTGACCATTACTCTGCTAAGTACAACTTTCTAAAAAGATTTAAGTCTCTGAACAAGCCTACCATTCCATTATAGAAGCCTGAATAACTACAAAGACTGTGAGACATAGCATGTATCCACTTGGGGATAAGCAGAAACTGTACACAGAAGAAGGGCATCTCATAATATCTTAAGCATGTCCCACTTAATGTGGGCTCAATAAATGCTCATTTGAATTGAAAAAAATTTATGGCTATCTACAAAAGAGTATCTTAGGTGATGACCTGTGACATCGAGGTTAAACAGGAAAGACTGAAAGGGTAAAATATTTTTAAAGATAATGAAAAAATAAAAGGCAGGAATTGCCAAGTTACAAAATTTGAAGGAAAAATTCTCAAGTATATGATCTTTTTCTAGCTATGCTCCAGATTCAATCCTTATACTTTTTCTTCATCCAATTATTCTATTCTTTAAGGAGAAAATTAAAACAAACTATCTTTTAAAATTAAGCACTTAAAATTTAATACACAGTAATCCTGACAAATAAACGTTATCCAAAAAAATATGTTTCTAAAATGTATATAATACAAAAACCTAATTTCGCCTTTTCAATCATGATTTTTATCAATATTTGGTACATCTATTTTAGAACACACATTTGAACTATTTATATTCAGATTTTAAACATTTTTTGAGATTTCTTCAATGACTGTATCACTTAACAGAAAATTATGTTTCTAACTAAGTTTAATATCTTATAAAGGAATTACTTACAGGGACATTAAGTGCATACTGTAGTCCTTGAGGAAGTCTTTCATGTGTTTCCATCTGCTCTTCATCATTTTTCACTGTCTCCTCATGAACCATGAGTTCATCATGTGATATCATATCCTGTTGTCTCATTTCACTTTCTTGTAACACTTCATCTGCAGCAAGGATCTCCTGGTGAGGCATACTCCGATCTTGAAGCACCGATTCCTGCAGTTCCCCAGACACGGTAGACTGGCCAGACACTCCACCCATTACAACCATTGCCCTGGAAGACTGCATTTCGTCTATGCCGCCACATTTAAGAAATAATCCTTCCAGTTTGTCGTCAATGTTCATGCTTAAGTATAACTGCCTAGAAAGACCAAGTTTGGCAACAAAGCATAATAAATTAGTTTTATATGTCTACTTGAATTTTTTTAATTTCAAATTATCCATACTTCAATAAAAGCTTTCCATACTTCAATATGGAAAGGTATCCATACTTCAATAAAAGTTTTATTCACTTAATTCAATATTGCCTCCAATTTAAAAATTACCAATAAATTTTCAAAAGCTAGTAGAATAAAACACAAATTTTTATTTCTGACATTAAGGCACTAATCTATTTCATTATGAAAAATGAGCATGAAGTAAAGCAAACTGGGAGAAAGTATTTGTAACATCAGATGGCTCCATATCCTTTAATATATTAAAACATCTTAAAAATTAAAATAAGAAATAACATTAAGAAATAAACAGAGAATACTATCAGGTAAATCATAAAGAAAAATTAGAAACAGTCACTAAATATATAAAATAGTAGTCACAACAGTATCAAAGAAATGAACATTAAAACTGTATTTTATCCACCAAGTTGATAACAACTCTTAAAAAATAAATCCAAGGTTGAGCTCACAGGGAAAAAAATCTAATGACAGTGGGAGTACTTTAGTTCAACTATTTCCAAAGGTAATTTGGTACACTGTATCAAAACCCATAAAAATGCACATATTCTTTGAACTGGTGATAATACATTTAGGAAACCACCCTGATGAAATCAGGAAAGCATAGAAAGATATGCATGAAAAATCTCTATGGCAGTACTTTAATACGAAAAACTGGAATTACACTAAGTATTCAACAAATAGAAACAGTTAAATTATATTCATACATGCATTTTAAAACTAAAGTAATGGTTGCCCCATTCAATTTGCTAAAAATTAGACTTGTACTCTTAGAATGGGCAAATTTTATTCTACATAAATTATATCTCAAAGTTTTTCTTAAAAATAGAATCAGAAAAATGGCTACCCTTGTATGAGGAGACTGCTGATAGGAGGTAGGAAAAGTGGGGTATCTGGGAGCAGACAACATTTTTTCTTGAGTTGAACGCTGGCTATACAGGTGTGCCCACTTTGTAAAATTTTAAGATGTGTATCTGTGATATGCACACATTTCTGTCAGTTATCATACTTCAATAAAAAGTTAAGTCTGTTGGAATTAAAAAAAATACAGTCAAAAAATATTGAAAATATTTTAAAATTTTGGGAAACAGCCCAATATAATAAGGGAAATGTGTATGTAACTATGTGTCTGAAAATACACAGCTTTACTGAAAATGCTAACATTAAGATTACCAATGGGTAGTGAAATTACTATTTTCATACTTATATTTCTCTCTAATTTGAACTTTCTATAACGCAATTTTATTTCTTTTAAATGCTTTAAATTTGTTAAAATGTAAAAAGTATTTTCATTACTAATATATTCTTAAATAGTTGCCCATGATAAATTTAAGAGGTCATAAGAATCAGACACTACTAAATAATTATATTCTTTTTCCCCATTATTATAGGAAAAATAAGCAATATTAAGCTTGCTCTTCTAACTTTGGTTACAATAAATTCATACTCCATTGTGTTACTTAAGGAACTAGCAAAACAATAATCTTGAAATCCAAAGAAATTTTACCTCAGACTGTCATGGCACTGGTATGGTTTGTTTTTTACCAGGTTGTATAAAATAAACACACACACTCACCCACCATGAATGGACTACAATTAGTAAATGTATTAAGTATAAATCAATGAGGTAGTAGTGGTTACTACTTTAATCACAGCTTTCAAATGTTAAATTTAAATACACTACTGAAATCTAAAATAATCTTTCATTTACTAACATCATCTAGGGAGAAAACTTTATTTAAATGTATAGCTCAAAAAATGGGGTTTTCCAGGTGGCTCAGTGGTAAAGAATCTGTTTGCTAAGCAGGAGACTCGGGTTCAGTCCCTGGGTCAAGAAGATCCTCTGGAGAAGGAAACAGCAGCCCACTCCAAAATTCTTGCCTGGGAAATCCTATAAACAGAGGAGCCAGGTGGGCTACAGTCCATGGGGTCACAAAAGAGTCAGACACGACTTAGCAACTCAACAAAAACACAAAAGCTTAAAAACAGTAAACATAAACAGTAACGTAAACAAAAGAAAAATGTAATTCACACTTGCTGTGTCTTCCCTGGTACCAGGTAGTATCAAAAATCCAGAAGACATACTGGACAAAGGAACAAGAATTTAATTTCCCTTTGTGAAGTATTTTAGTAGTCCAAATGACAAATATTTAAAATACATCACCAAATAACTATCCTCTTCAAATACGATATTTTTCACATTTCTTAGAGAATAAACTATCCTACAACTAACAAACTTAAGTCTCCTAGGGTTAAAATTTGCTTATTTCTTTGGAAATCCTTACCAAATCAATTATATACTTCTAATCTATTTACTGTTTTCCTAAAGGACTCAAAAGGGACCAATATATGCACAAAGCCACCCTTTACTGCTGTGACATCTGCTGTTGCCACATACATCATTATTTAAAAAAAAAAACAAACACCCTTGGGAGCTTTTAAAGAATATGGGAGAAGTAAAAAGAAGTAATTATTAAAAGCAGACATTAATAAAAGATATTAAACAAACTAACCTAGGACAGACTTTTCTTTTTCTTAAAGATTACCAAAAGTTAAAGCCGACTTACTAACCCACTGCAAGGTCTACATTTCCCTAAGGCAGTGGTCCTCATCTCCAATGTTTTTTATAATGTACTTCATCAATTTTTTAAAATTTAGCATATCCTAATATTCGGTGGTGGTGGTTTAATTGCTAAGTCGTGTCTGACTCTTGCAACCCCATGGACTAGCCCACCAGGTTCCTCTGTCCATGGAATTCTCCAGGCAAGAATACTGGAGTGGCTTGCCATTTCCTTCCATTTCCATCCCATTTCCAAGGGATGTTCCCAACCCAGGAATCAAACCCGGGTCTCCCGCATTGCAGGCAGATTCTTTACCAACCGAGCTATGAGGGAAGCCCTATCCTAATAAATGCATAATGCTTATAATTACACTCCTATAACAGTGTGTTAACATTTAATAAACTTAGTAAAACAAACTTTATGTTTTTTATAATTTTTTAATATGTTTTATAATTTTTATAATTTAATTTTTAAAAAACTAATCTTATCCCTAACATCAGGTTGGAACAGTAAGTATTGAGGAAGTCAAAATACTTTGGAGGTAGAGAATATTTGGGGGAAGAAAGGTAAGTATGCAAAAAAAGAAAGTGCCAGAATGAGGCATCTGAAACAGGAAGATACCACAACTCAATAAGAAAGTAGTAAATGGAGTGGGAAGTGGAAACACTGTAAATAAAGGGCAAACTTGACTTCTATGAAAATTTTCTTGAAAACAGTCCATATAGACAGAAAAAGGAATCGATCTTCCTTTTTCACATTTGGTTTCTTATTCCTCTAACCCCAAATTAACCTATAATATTTCAAGTTACTGGCTAGCCTAGAAACTGTTTCTGAGACAATTTCCCTGAAATACCAGAAAATATTAAGATATCAACACAGACTTCAATATCAAGGAACACTGCTCTCACAGTTTTAAAGTTAGCTTTGAAAATATCCACCAAAATGAAAACTGTTGACCACTGTGACACAGCACTCTCATTGCTGGGAGTATATATAATCCTATATATGTGCTTAGTCATAAAAATTAACCAAAGATTTATGTACAGGATGTGACCTTTTAATGGAAAAAGATTGGAAACGGCCTAAGCATCCTCTAACAGAAAACTTGTTTAACTATGATTCAGCCGCACAGTGGAATACACATTAGCCAGTAAAATGAATGTGGCAGCCATATGTGCTGGGTAAAAAGTTCTCCAAGATACATGGGGGGAAAAAATCAAGAAGATACACAGACAAATAAGTGAGCCATACTTGTATCACATATCTCAACCAGAGATATGGGGCAGAGAAAGCTGGACAGGAAATAAACAAGGCTCTCAAACAAAGTTAATTTCACTAAGCCTATGGTAAAAGGGAAAAGGACAAAGTTACCCTAAGAAAAATGACCAGGAAAAGTATGTTTTTTACTGTCCTTGAAGCTCTCACCAATCTTAAATTTCTCCCTTACACCTCCTATATGACCTCAGTCAAAGCTCCCATGTGCTTCACTTCACTGCACATTCAAAAGCCTAAACCTTGCAAAAGACTCTATGCATGCTTAAAAGTTAACACAGGCTCTAATTTCAGTATTTTCAGGAAGATTCAGTCAAATATAAAGAAATGAAACTGATGTTATCAATCCACACTAAGATGTGAGTATTTAAGTGTCTCTGCTAAATCTTCAAAAAGCCAACTGTTTTTTGACCCACATGTCAATATAATTAATGGAATATTACACAGCAGAGAGAAAGAAAGAATGCTTAAGTCACGTCTCTTACATGAAAGGCTGCTCTGGAAGAAAAAAAGAAATAACTAATCTACATTCCCAGGAGCCTCTGTCAAACAGGGGGAAAGAATGACTAGATGGAGTAATAAGCTCTAAGCCACGCTGAGCTCCTTATAATGATCCATTATTTTGTATGTGAAGGAAGTTTGGGTAGCTGACAAAGAATATAAAAATCGCAGAGCTATTAAGATCCAAGAGAGGATGGACAATGATGTTCTAGAAATAACTCAGCTAAAGCTGAAATGGCACTCCTTCTGGAGTTACCCAGAACACTAAAAATCAGAACTTAGGAAGACAGAAGGAAGGAAGGGGCCCACCTCGGGCCAATTTCTCCCTCCAACAGATTACTTCAAACTCTGCATTCTTCTCCTCCTTCCAAATTTAATTCTTCCGTCTCCATCCCTCTGCCAGAGAAGCTAGAAGGTATACAGAATATCAGGGATATTGAGAGGATCACAATTCAGCTTTCTGTTCCATTCAATACCCTCTCTCCCACACACACCCTCACTATCCTTCAGTATTGAAAAATGTTTGGTTCAGTTGTATAAAATTAACCCAAATTACAGT